TTCTTTATACACAATAATTTTACAATTATTAAGTTGTTAATATTGTTTTTATTGTCAATTTGTGAGAACAATGTGCACACATTTATGAGTTTAGCTTCGAGTTTAACATTAAAGAAAGGTAAGAAAGACGTTTTATTTTATTACAGTTCTGCAGTTACTGTTACAATTAAATAAATTGAATAGTTCTAAAACCTTAATAAGCATTTGATGTATGTCAGCCCATCTATTCAGACAATAGTATTCAGCAACAAGAAAGAAATACTAATGTCAATGTATTTTTATTATCGGATCCAAATATCTTTGCATATAACAAAATAACGTCTTTGAATCATTACTTCTTGAAGAGTTAATCGATCTTGGTATTACTGGTAATTGTAAGTTAATTCCTTAAATATCTATTTTAAATAATATTAAAAACTTTTTTTTTCACGATGATGAGAAAAGAAAATCATATACCTCTAGTATGATGTTGTTGAGTTAAGAAATATGGTCATCACAAAATATTTAAAGATTTTTCTTGGTTAGAAAAAACTATCTTTTTTTTCGCTATCACTCACCTTGTAAAAGGCTGGCTCTTTGTTTCGCCCTTTCATATAGGGTGTTAGTTTATCAACCTGAATGTTCTGGTAAGTTGCAATGGGGCTCTGCAGCTGTGATTGCAGTGCAAGGACCCTTTGTTTTTAGTACTAATTGGGCTCTGCAGCTGTGAGAGCAGTAAAAGGGCCTCAAATTTTTTATGGTAGCTCTACACTATCGCTTCTTGGCGAAGATATTTATGTGAGACATATTTGGTTAGTTCATTTATTTGAAATAGTATCAATCGGATAGAGTAATTGGAATTAGAGTGTCCAGGGTATTGCGGCAGCAGAATCTGTACAGAATTTATACAGAATTCTGCGAGCAGAATAAAAATTATTGGTGAATATGCCTATTGTGATGAAATTGGAATTTTCTTTAAAATTTCTTTTTGTCATAATTTTGTTTTTTTAAAGTATTATTTATACGTCGCCACGGAATTTGCTAATTTAACGATAATTTGCAGCAGAATTTTTCAGTTAGAGCAGCAGTACCCTGAACACTCTAATTGGAATGGATTAGGCATTTAACTACAAATTCGTCTTAATTCTAAATATAAGGCCTGTAACGATTGTGAACAGATTCCCATATGTTTTTTCTTTGTTTTAATAAAGTCATCTAATCGAACAATAATAATATACATTATTAAAACAAGTTGATTCTTATTGTTTTAACCTGCTTGGAGCAAGCTTAATCTATGAAAATAATACTTCAAGTATAATCTCATACTTATGCAGTACACAATGATGATTATTTGGATATCTTATTTATTTATCATTGTTTTGGGGAAGTAGAGATGTGTGAATTACAATACATATAAATAAACTGAAGTTTATTTTAAAACTACAGTTTTACAATAAACTACAGTTTATTTATATTAGCTAATAGTTTATAGTTCGCATCTCTATGGGGAAGAATTACCTATGCATGTACACATAAATGCTATGTACTACCTTTTCGAGTTGCTTTACACTTCGTCTTGCAGTATTTGATTACTAACTACCTACTTAATTTGAGTTGGTTTTTTTTTGGTACGCTTTAATTGGTTAGATAATCCAATACTAAATCGACTAAGTCGATTTTTCTAAAAATCGGTTGACTAAATCGACTAAGTCGATAAAATCGACTAAGTTAAAATCGACTACAAACACTACTCATAACTAATTATTTCACGTGATTAAAAGCTATTTTAAACCAATGAAAACAATTTTATTTATAGATACTATATTGTTAAATATTTGGAAATATTTGGATTGAATTGGTTCCAAATTTTTGCCGGTCCCTGCTTCACTATCTTCCCCAGTATCGCCAACCAGGGACGCCAATTTTTTTTTTGAATTAAAGGCGAATTTTTTTTTGGATAACGTAAAAATTTTGGAAATTTTTGGATTTGGCCGGCATTAAGAAATTAAATTTAATAATTCGGGTCAGATCACATGAAATCACATGATTTTGGATTATTGCCCAAAATTTCGTCATCCGAAATTTTGAATTTTATAAACACAGCCAATCGGATTAATAGGAATTAACAGACAACGTGATCTGTGACCAATCAAACCGCTAAAATCGTGCTTAAAAATTTCTAAAATTTTGGTTTTTTATGGATGGATTTTCCCCAAAAATTATGGATTATAATTTTCGGCGTCCCTGTCGCCAACAAATTTTTTCGATCACGTGATGATCGATAAAATTGTTTAAGTTCGTTTATGTTAGGGTAAGCGTTGAAATTAAAGTTGAGTATTAAGGGGGATATAGTAAAATTACTCGAGGAATTTTTTTTGTTTCTTAAGCGAATTTTTGAGATAAATGCAATTTTTTCTAAAGGGACGTTTTTTTTGATCGCGTGATGTTACACCAAATCAAGATTCTTTATTGGATAATTTGTTGTAGATCATCACGTGATCGACAAAATTTATCATAGTTTAGCGTTAGTTCCACTTCACTTTAAACGACCCCCTGATGTGATAAAAATAATTTAAAAAATTTGAAATTAGATGTAACTCAGCTAATATCAAATTTTGATTATCTTATAGATTTTCTTATCAAGTTCGGTATTCAGAAAATGGGCTTCTTAGAAAAAAACAAGCCATTAAAGTCTTTAAAAGCTCCAATGCCAATTAATCCATCTTGGTGCGATATCTTGGAAACATGCATCGCCACTTATCAATCACAAGAGCTACACGAGAGCATTCAAAAAATTTCATTGTTTCTTAAAAGCTCTGATGCAACCTGGGAGCAACAATGCCAGTATTTAAGGGATATCGGTAAATTTTGAATCATGATATTAACTTTTTTAATGCTTACTAAATGGTTTAATTACTTTATAGAAAAATCATTACCGTCAAAGAAACCCAATTTCGCCCAAACGTTAAATAAAATAAACCTTTCACCTAATTTCATTCATCAGATTGAGTCAGTTCTTGAACCGATAATTGTAGGGATATACTTTACTTCGATAGAACCATTAGTAAAACAACGTTGTATCCCAATATTTGATTCTTGCTATTTTTTGTTGGCAAAATTACTCAGTAACCATGGCACAGAGTCAATAAAATCTCTTAATTTTGATGCAGATAATAATATGGTCTTGGAATTTTCAAAAGAATATTTTGCATACATAACTCATGATAATTACACGACACAGACATTATGTCAAAAAGGAACTGCTATTTATCTAATGTTAGATTTTCCTCTGGGACTGTCAATTGTAAAAGAAAATTGGCGTCCCTGGTTGGCGATACTGGGGAAGATAGTGAAGCAGGGACCGGCAAAAATTTGGAACCAATTCAAT